TTTGAAGAATATTATGCTCTGTATATTCTATATATAATACCTTTAAAAGAGATAGATTTTATGGTAAGGAGATAGGTTTGACGCATCAATTATTAAGAGAACATATGAAATTAGTGTAATGATTATAATAATCACATATATTTTATAATAATTTAGGGTTTTTTACTTAGGCCCAATTCTAATGATCTGTGGATATGTTAAATTTATCAAAAGCTTTAACCTGATTTTGTAAATATAACTTTTAATATTGTGCTTAAAATAAGTTGAATTAGAATTAAGCATAAATAAAGTTAATGTTAATTATATTTTAATTAAAGAATTATTAAATCAATTATATTTCTTACCTTAAAACTATTTATGATACCTTAATCACAAGGTTGAAAATGTGCAGTAGTATTTGGAGAGAGGGATTAAATGGTGATGTTAGTCAGTCAGGTGGTTTCATAAAGAGCATATGTCAGAGCATTATCTACAAGAAAGAGAATTTTTCGATTTTGTCTTCTCATTTTTATATTGAATTTTTTATGTAATCATTTCAGATTGAAACCTGCATCTAACTTTTAGTTCTAATAGTATTTGACCAGAAGCGTTCTTTTATTAATGTTCTTAATAACTTTAGGATTTTCATACTTGTATATGAATAAAGGCATCAGCTTTTCACTTTCCATTGCATTATATGTAAGTAGAATCATTACATGATCTTTTGATTATTTTTTTTCTGATGTTTGTTCATTAGATATTGTTCGATATAATTCACCTTCTAAAATAGTCCTGTTTTGTTATAATTGAATATATTTTCAGAACTATAATCTTTTAATATTTGCTAGAGATTCTCTCTTATTATTTTAAAATCTTCAAGTGACGCACTTATGATTTTCTCATATATATGATACTGTTTAAGGTTATATCATTTTTTAAAGTTATTTATTTAACCACTAGACCCTTTAAACTTATCCTCCTTTAATAAAAAAAGTAAAACTCAAGGCTTTTGTTGAAAGAATATTGTTAGTAATAATGAGATTAGCTTTGAGTGCATTATCTATCTAAATTGCTAATGCTTCTTTAATAAGAGGGAATATAGTTTTCTTATTATATTTCAAATTAGCTTAGTATAAATTGGTATTCATAGAAAGCCAATACTCTTTCTCCTTTAAAATGTCACTTACCATACCTTCACTAATGTTATATTCATTAGTTAAGTCTTTTTGTTTTAAAAAAAGTAATGATATTTTTTTTAAATAAAGTTTTTTTTATGCAGTTGTAAGAAATTTTCATTTTTTTTAAAGGTTTACCTTGTTTGTTAAAAGGTTAATTAAGTTGTTTCTTTGAGTTTATTTTTGATATTATTGGTATTATGCAAAGAAAATAATGCGTAAAAAATAAAATATGTAAAAAAATATGAAATACAAGATATAATACATAATGCAAATATTTATTCATTTTTTAATTTTATTTAAAACTAGATACAGAGAATTACAAAATTTTATATACATAAATTTAGTAAAATTTATTTAAGCAAAATTTCGTTGTATCAAAAAAAAATTCATTATAGAGATAATTCATTATAAAAAGAGTCATTTTATATATAAATTTTTTTGATTTTAATTTGTTAAACATAATACAAATTTTTAATTACTAAATTCAATATAGTAAGATTTTTTAATATTTAAAAATTTGTTTGACATTGAAAATCTGTTGTATTGTAAAATTCGTTATATCAAAATTTATTGTAAAAAAGTTGACTATAATTCTAAATTTAATATAAACATAATTTTTTCTGCAGGATTAGTCTAACTATGATGAGGTATTACAGTCAACTCTTATTATAACAAACTCTATGTCCTAGACCTCAATTCACTATAAGGTTATAGTGAAAATTTTAAGAGATTTGATTAACTAATTCGCTATAACAAGAGTATTTTTATTATATTTATTCAAAAAATTCGTTATATCAAGAGTTCACTATATCAAGAGTTGACTATATATGTTTTATGTAAAAAAAGATAAATAAGAGAAATTTAGACTGAGTCAAATATTGTGCGATAATCTGAACCACTATCAGTATAAAAGCATAGAATAGAAAAAATATTATTAAGGTGATGAGTAGAAATTGCATTATAAAATTCAGTAGAATATCTAATAGTACTACTACTAGGTTGAAATACTGTATCTTTAAATGAAAAAATACTTTTTTACTATAAAAAGAATTTTCAATAGATTGGAAAATATTACAAAAGAGTATTACAGAAGGTATTAAATATAACTTCATAAAATCATGATCACATGCAACTAAAGAAGTTTCTTGAAAAACCATAGTTTTTCTATTGCAAACTTCAGTAGAAGTATTGATATCTTCTTTAATAAAAATCTTATATTTATCATTCGCATATATAAATAAAGCAAGTTGTCAATACAAAATTGCAAATTCTTATAGAAATTAAAAAAGCAGCATAATAATATGTATCTGGATGATCTTTATAAAGTTGTCTTATTTGAACTATAAATTTGATATTAAAATATCTAGTATATTGTTTGACACTTTCTGTTATTGAATTTGTTAGTTAAAACTGCAAAAGTATCCTTTCTTCACTTAGAATTGAAACAGTTTCAGATATAAGTTTTTTGTATAATTATTTAATAATTATCTCACAGAGATCACATATTGAAATAGCAAGTAACATATATAGAATATTTTCATGTCATTGATCATTAACTGCTAGTGAATTCTTAAAAATATAAAAATAAGTTAAATATTAATAATTTATATATAAAATAAAGTAATTAAGAAAATAATTTACTTTGTTAAAATAAACTTCTATCTCATCCTAAAATGTATTAAATTTTTTCCTTTAAATCTATTATTTTGATGTAAATTACATATAATTGATGGATTTTCTATTGTTAATATAAGTCAAAGTCATTCTTCTAGATCTTTATAAATATCATGTGATGTTACAGTAGCATTGCTACTTAAATTATAATATAAAATATACAAATAATAGGTGTAACATTCTTAACTAATGAATACTATTAGAATTATAAGCAACTATTAGTAAATTAATTCAAAATATTTTTTCAAGTAAAATACAATAATATTAATCTTTCCTAATACATTTTTTCACATTTATTGAGTAAAATATTATGGCAATTTTTCTTGTATAGTTATTAGGACATGTGCTTATGTAGTTTCTGATCATTTTTAAGATTATTTGGAATTTTTCAAATATAGTTAAGCATGCCAAGATAATTGCCATAATAACATTTATAAAAAGTAACAGAAAATTGTATTTAAAGATCTTTAATATAACGATACCGTTGCATTGCATCTTCAGGTAAAAAGCTATCTAAATTAATTTTGATATAATTAGCTATATTTGATAAGTGATCTTAAAGTTATTGGTATTGTACATAAATTTTTTAACAGAAATCTATTATATATATCTTTAGATCATTAGTTGACTGATGTGCTAGTGTAATATTCAAATGTATTTATTTCATAGATTTGTTAATTTGTTCTAAATTGTTTGCATATTTTCGCATTAAAGTTATTAAAATAAAAACTTCTTCAATAATATTTTTTCAACTTTTACTAGCTACCTATGACTGTGCTGCTAATAATTCTAATGAAGAATCTAGTTTTTTTCAAGCTTGTCATGCTGAAAATTGTATTTAGTATATTTTCTAGTAAAATAATAAAGATTATAATTTTGGTCTTTTTGATATTGATTTAATTCATTGAATAATTCTCCAAGTAGAAGTGATCATTCTGTAAATATTATACAATGTGAATCTATGTACCATAATGCTACTGTTAGACATTCAACAAAACTCTTTCCAAAAGTATTTATGTTCTATTTCTCTATCTAACCATTTTACTTTGAAATAATTTAATGATATTATTATAAAGTAAATCCTTACGAGTATCTTCTTTTTCTATTCTAGAAGACAAATACATTATGAAAGATTCATAATTAAATCAAAAGCATTTGATCTTTCTTGAACTGTGATTTCAGTTGCTTCAAAAATGAACTTAATATATGTAAATTAAGTTTAAATAACATAAATATATCACCCTGCAGTCCTTCCTCTATATAAACCCACTTTCTGAAGGTTTTCTTAAAAATACCTGAATACCTTCTAAATTTTCAAACTGGTTATTGTTATATTAAATATGTTGTGAAACTGGCAACAGTTTGTAAGCAACACCTTTACAATCTTATCTGAAACGATTGTTTTTGCTTCTTTAAGTACGCATACAACAAAGAAACCCATTGTGCAATAGGATTTTAGATACAACATTGAGGAAACTCATTTATATGTTAATAAAAAGTCGCGGCCGATATATTGGTAAAACACGGCTGATCTAATGGCCAATTTATCTGATGATAAATCACATGATTAATTTTAACCAATCAAATTGATAAAATATGTGTTGTTCACCATTCTTTATTTGTCCAATGGGGGGGGGGGTATGTTAAACAAAGGTTTGGATTTGAGCGGCCTTAACTTCGAATGAGTCGGATTATATTATGATATGTAATTTCTAAATGATCAAGAAAAAAGAAAGGCAAGACTATTTGAAATAAAATACTCTAATTCAAATTCATTCAAGGCAATATTTCAAAAAATTATCTCAACGATAAATTTCTCTTTGATTATTCTAAAACACGATGTAATCTTTCATGATAAATATAAATCAACAAGAGTGTCATGAAAATTTATGTTACGAAACCTATCTTTTTAAGATTTGGAACCAAGTATTAAAAAATATCAATTTTTTTTTGTTTTGAAAAAAAATAAACAAAATGATTCTCGTATCACCTCAAATGTGGTTTTTTTTTATTTTTTTAAAGAAAATAAAATAAAAAAAAATAAAATTTAATCCTAATTGAATCACCAAAAACCAAAAGATTAAAATTTTCACGTAATCAACCTATCTTTAAGGAACAGTATCTTTTTTTTCGAATATTTTTAAGAAATCATCTTTATAATCTCCTAATTTAATCCACGTAAATATCGTAATTCGAAAAATCTTGCCACTTAAAATTCAATTTGGCGGCATCCCAATCATCCTCGTCTTTAACCGTAATTATATTACCATCGATATTCTTGTATTTAATAGAAGTTATTTCCAAACCCATTTTTTTATTAATTAATTTCAATAAACCCGAAAAGGATTCTTCCATTTGTAAAGAAATTACCCCCTTTAAATTCAAAAAGTAACATGTAATATTATACTAAAATAATTTAAAGGATTTTATTATAGATGAAATGTTTGATTTTGACAAAGAACTTTTTTTTACGATAATAAAAAAGTCATTACCTCGGGTGTATTATTTGATGGTGGAATAATGGTTATCAGATCCTGATTTTTGTGATTTAATGAGAGATCAAAGTTAAGACATAAAGAATTGAATGTAATCGATTAAAGTCATTTACCTTATCGACTTTTTTGGTTTCATCAGTTTCATTAGTTTCATTAGTGTTATCTTTATCTTTTACCACCTAATAAATAATGATCATAAAGACACGTGTTACCAAATGAGAATAACAATAACATATGATACCTACAGTTGGACCACGCATCCACTTCACTCCAACTTCAAACATAAAAATTGTCATGGAATGAACTTTTTCACAAGGTGTAAAAATGATCTTTGTAACACCATCCATGCAACCGGTTGGATCCTTACGGGTCAAACACGTCGTATTTTGATTAAGATCATGAACAAAATACTGAGAGTACCCACGATTAGTCAATCAATTTAAACGTGAGGGAAAAAATTCAAATCAAATCAAATTGACCTACAGTCCTATGGAAATCCTTGCGAAATTCAATTTCAATGTACTTATCTTGAATGACTTTAAATCCAACAACTTGTTCAATGGGATTCTTTGTTGTATGCGTACTTAAAGAAGCAAAAACAATCGTTTCAGATAAGATTGTAA